CTCCGGGGCAGGCGGGAATCGAACTCATGCGGAAGCGGCTTAAGCTTCTTAGTGCAGTGCTTTAACCCGCTGCGCCACCAGGGAGGGCCCGGAGCTAGAATCATTTTATAAGCAAGAAATTTGAAGATGTAAATTAGCAGCGAGGAGGAAAGAAGAAGGATCTGGAATGCCTTTCAGACTTCTGGCTTAAGTGATTTGGAGGAGGGGTTCGCTGTTTCAAATGAGGCTAGATCACAGGATTTAGGAAGGCAGGCGGTGGTCCAGGCAAGGTGAATAGCGATCCTGTTGGGACAGTAGAGTTCACATAAGAAATTAGATGGTAGTGGAGTCTGGGGGGAAGAGCCGGGCTAGGGGCAGCCCCTGTCGTCAGAGAAGAACTCCAGGGAGAGTTGTAGAAGGAGAAAAGAGTAGCGAATCAGAGGAATACCTGGGACAATCCCAGGGCTAGGGGTGAAGTCTCAGCATTATGAAGCTGTTGGCAGCCCCAAAGCTCGAGTTCCAGAGTTCGATCCCTAGCCAGGGAGTGACCCTCATGGCGTGGCAGACCTCTCCTGTCTCCCTCGCTGCTCCCCTCGGCAGTGTCTTTCAGTACATCTGCCTGTGCTGTTCCCCTCTGGGGAGTCCTCTCCTCTGCTCTTATTTCAGGGTGGGGTGGGGGGAAGCGGCCAGAGCTGTGAGCCTTAGCTGGGGCCCTTCCAGAGTGAGCTGCTCTGTAGGTGATCCGGACACTTCGCTGGGAGACCTCCAAGCCTTTACCTTTACATCTTCCCTTTTGTCAGATTCTTCAGAGAAATATCTTCTAATTATGTATCTGGAATTACAGAACTGGCATGCTGAGAGCTGAGTGAAGGGACAGTGTGTCAAGGTCATATTCTTCAATAACAACTCCCCTAACACATCACTTTATCGCCTCTTTCTCCCAGTTCATTGAACATGAGTTGACTACTTACCCTGAGTCTAAACACTAATGAAACCCTTTGGCCTAAGTGCTGGGGAGAAATAAACCTGTGAACACCCACTTTCCCCACTCCAGGCCCAATGTAAGTCAATAAACGCTATTGAGTTTAAAACATTCAAAGTTCTGTGCTAACACTGTGGAGAAGGAAATATCAGCAAGTCCTACTTCCTGTCTCAAGAAGCTCACAGATACGCGTAGGAGGTAAAAGCAAATTATGAAACCAAAATACAAACAAGGCAGAACATGACTTCTTTGCTGCTGCAGAAGAAAGGAAGAGGTCCGGTGGCTGTTTAGAAGGAAGAGGCGGCTCCTGCTGGTGGTGGGGATGGGAGGAAGTGGGGATTTGAGTGGGAACATTAAAACTGTTCAAGACTTTACAGGGATGGGCTTTACAAATGAATGTCGACAAAAAGCAAAGCCCCAAAGGTGATAAGATTTGGAGTTTTAGGGTTCTGCTTGTCCTCCCTGCAGGGTGGCTCTGGGGGCCCTCTCCACTGCTTGGTGAATGGCCAGTACACTGTCCACGGAGTGACCAGCTTCGTGTCCAGCCTGGGCTGTAATGTCTCCAGGAAACCCACGGTCTTCACCCGGTCTCTGCTTACATCTCTTAGATGAATAACGTAAGTCTTTTCAGATGATGGGCTGAAATAGGGTCACCTGAGACTCAGGCCCCAGATGGACTGGGGAGGGAAGCTGGGAAGGGAGACGTCCCTTCCTCACACAGGCATACACTAGCTCTGCTCCCTTCCCGCCACAGTCCACTTCCCTCAGTAAGGCCAGCTTTGCCACACTGCTTACTGTTGGGAGTAAGGTCATGGGACCAAGCACAGTCAGTGCTGTCCCAAGTCCCATCAGAAAGCAGCTTCACAAAGGCCTGAGCGCTGGGAGAAGACACGCTAACACTGTCTCCTATGAGCCCTTGCAGAGGCATGTGAGACTCTATTCTACCCTTTGGAAAGAGGTATTACCACCTCCAAGGATGCGTGAGGTGAGGCAAGACTCCGCCTGCCCTGCCTACTGGTTATACTCAGAACGGTCCTCCTCAGAACGATCCTCCTCAGAATCATCCCACCTGTGCCCTCAGGACTCAAACTCATTCCAGAGCCTGGTGCAGCAGCCTTGACTCACAGCGTTTCAAGCTGTCCTCACCAGAAAGTCCTGCCTGTAACACTGAATTGTCCTGACATGGCTCAGCCCTCCTCCCTGCCACCCCTCTCAATTCTCCACAAACCAGTCCAGGCTGGGAACCTTGGAGAAAAGAAGGCAGGTGGAAGATACTATGTACTAACTGGTTCTTCCTTCAGGTCAGGTCATTGCCAACAACTGAACATTTCTGTGAGGACAATGACCTTCCCAAGATGATTTTTAGATCCATCCCGGGACTTGAAACCATTAAGGAAAAATCTTTCTAAGACTATTGTGCCAGAGACAGCAAATAAACCTGAATATACGTTACCATCCTGCATCTATCTGTCATGCAGCCCCTAGGGGGAAGGTAGGCACAGGACCCAAGGTGGATTTCACCCCATTTCTGAGCTGGTCCTTCTCACCGCTGCCACCTTGACCAGTTCACAGCTGAGTGAAGTGGGAGTGATTTTATGGTGCTTTGGGGTTATTTTAGGAGCTGTCCGTGGCTCCGCCCACCTGCGCCATGGGTATTTGCTCCCATCAAAGGCACAGAGCGTGTGACAATGTTCCTGCATAACTACAGGTGACTTGTCTCTCCTGGACAGGCCTGGGCTCGTTCTTTTATTTCCTGCTCAGTGCCTAAAACAGGTGCTCACACCAAGCTATTAGGACACACCAGAGACAGGTATAGCAGCAGGTGGTAGGTGAGATACCAGCAAAGAAAATAACACATTAGCAAAGAGGTTTGGAGGAAAGAACAGAAAGGAGAAAAGGTTTGAGCAAAGAAAGAAAAAGGTTGAAGGGACGAGAACAAAAAGGGAGACGGCAGTTGAGGGCCTCTGGTGTGAGTCAGCACATCAAGGCTGCCGCTGAATTAGGCAACCGGATCCAGGATTCTATAAACAACAGGACTGGGGAGCTGATAATTCTGCTCTCTCCTGGCTGAGGTGCTGTCTGTGAGAATGGCCTGGGATAGAGTGAAGAAGGAACTGAAAGGAGAAGTCGAAGGGGATGGGAAGAGCTTTTCATAGCCATGGCTAAGAGCCAGACGAGAGAACAGGGTAGTGAACATCGCAACAGAAGAATCTGGTGAAGACCAGTGCTGGAATTGCAGGGTTCTATGTCAGCAAAAGCTTCTGGAGCAATGTATGCGTTATCAGAAGCTGAGCTGGAGGCAGATGTATGCCCATCTCAGGTCAGCGCCGGGCAGCAACGTGTTCCTGAGCAGGGAGCCAGCCTTTCCGATGAGCTTGTTTCCCATCTTGGCAGCTTCTTTTTTAAAGATTTATTTATTTATGCACACAGAGCTGGGGTGCAGGTTAGAGGTGCAGGAATGGTGAGAGGATTCACCAGAGACAGAGTGGGGAAATTAATGAAGTACACTGCTGAGGGGAGCAGTGGGCCAGGCAGCAGGTCTGCTGCGCCATGTGGCTCACGCCCCTGGCCGGGACTGGACTCCTGCTGAAGTGGCTGCTGCGAGCTTCGTAGTGCTGCACTCTGACCATAGTGCCACCAGGGAGGGCCCCATCTGGTCAACTTGTAAAAATTACAGACCTAAAAAGAAAGAAAAATGGTTCCTGTTCTAGCACTTCATGATTTGGTGACCATCGGTTTCAATTCCCAAAAGACTGGCCCTGAGGAGTCCTGCGAGGCAGTGGCTGGACTGCAAGCCTGAGGTGCCGGGGGCCCTGGGGCAGTAAAGCTGGGAAGGCACACAGCCCCTCCTGTGACACAGGGTGACAGAGTCGCCTCTGGCCAAGGGCACACCTGGGATCCAGCGCCATCTTCTCTCAGTGCTCCCACAGTCCAGGCGTCTCTGGACTTCTCCCCTTAACACTGAGTCCTTGTCTTCACCACACCTTCCAGATGACCCCCACAGCCGACATCCAGAATAAACCCTAAGACCTATTACCTCAGTTTTTCTCTATCAGTGAATTAAGCACATAACATTAGTCATCTGATCACCAGCTTGTCCTGACGCCAGGCTTTACGCATCTAGGCTGTGCATTTTTAAATTCATCGCTGGCTTGTCACACAGTCAACCCTGAGTGATACATCGTTTGGAGGAACCGATGGAAAAACAGGCACAGACAAGGGCCTCCCATTTTGCCCCAGGCCTCCAGCTCCTCTCTCCACTCAGGAAGTATATTTTGACCTTTTCCCTTCCTTGAAGGGATTTTACCTCCATTGTGAAATCCTTGAGTAAATGGTTTCTCCAAATCAGCTGCCCTAATTTCCAGTTTTCCCCCCACACAGGTCAGGGAGTAACTTCCATTTTTGGAAATCATCTCCCTGGAGAAGTAACAGTTGTAATCTCAGCAGCCCCACCCCAATTTTTTCACAAGCCGTGTGTGTCCTCCTACGTGGCCAGTCCTGTGCACTCAGCACACTCTTCCAGTTCATCCAGTTGGAAAAACTTGCTCTCTATGCCCCAGCACACGCTCCATATTGTCACCTCAACCTTTTAAAAATAAGAGTCACTAGGGACCTGCTGCGAAGCTATCTGTGGCCACTGCAGCGCGTGATCGATCCCCGGCCAGGGAGGTGACCCACAGGGCGCAGCAGGCCTCTCCTGTCTCCCCGTTGCTCCCCTCAGCAGCATACTTCGCTGATCTCCACGCTCTGTCTCTGGTGAATCCTCTCACCGCCCTTGCACCTCTGGCCTGTACCCCAGTTGTGTGTGCATAAATAAATAAATTAAAAAAAAAGATCCACTCTTAGCTTCTAAGGGCCCCCGTTTCTACCTCTGATGTCACTGTTCCTGTTAAATCCAGCTCTGGAGTCTCCTCCAGAGCCCCCCTCCACACTCTGACCCTACGCGGGGAGACCCAGACCCAGCCTCTCTGCTACAGGCCTCCGTGTTACTGCAGCCGGGAGTAAGAAACACGCTTTACGCGGCAACCCAGCCGCGCCACAGACGGGGAACAGGCGTCCGGGGGCAGCCAACACTCCTGCCTAGCAGAAATCACGCCGTTTCTACCTCAGGGCCGACCGGCTCTATAGCCAACGGCTTTCGGGAACAAATGAGACTTTTGAAAACTTCAACGGGGCTGGGGCTCCCTAGGGCAGGCTGGAGACCTTTACAGCTGAGGGCCGCGTGTCCGCTCCTCAGTCTCCGCCTCTCCTGGGCAGGCCCCGCCCCTACTTGAAGTTTCCAGAAGTTTCCTAAGGGGCCCTGGCCCGCAGCTCCAGCCGTCCTGACTGGAATGCCACGGCCATGGGTAGGGTCCCCGGCGAGGCGGGCCGCAAGCACACCTTGCAGCAGCCCCCCGGGGTGTCCTCGGGTGAGCCCGGGCTCGCTGCGCCGCCTTTAGATGACCCTAGGGGTGGTCTCGGGGCCGGCCGGCAGTGGGGCGTGCCCGGGCCACCGGGGTGGGCAGGAAGGACGAGGCCCACCCCCCCACCCCCCCGCCGGATGCAAGGCATGCCGGGAACCCGCACTTCCTCCTCAGGGGCCCCCAGAAAACCACAGGGGCAGCCGCTCGCCCTCAGGGAGCCGGCAGGATGGCCGAGGGGAAGGCGGGCGGCGCCGCTGGCCTCTTCGCCAAGCAGGTGCAGAAGAAGTTCAGCAGGGCCCAGGAGAAGGTAGGCGGCCCAGCCATGCGGGCCCACCATGGGGGGGCGGGGGCGGGAGGGCTGCGGGGTCTCCAGCTCCCCGGGGAAGGCGGGTGGGCGGGGCAGGTTGGGCGGCCCTGAAAACGGGCTGACTGAACACAGAAAGTACAACATCCCTGAGGCAGGATGAGGAAAGCGGGTCTGTGAAAGAAACTAATGTTAGTGCGCTGGGGAGCAGCTTGGGGCCTGATATTCCAGGGAGGGTGGTATTTTACAGGTGATGACTCCGAAGGTTCAGAAAGGGTAATTTCTGCAGCCATGAGACCCCGACGCCCAGCCCCTGAGACCCACACGGGGTTTAGACTAGTCCGCAGAGACTAGACCAACGCGGCCTTCTCTCTCTCTGCCCGATGCCGCGGGCCTAGGCCGCGCCGGTTTAAGCTCCTGCAAGCCAGAGCCTGTATCTGCTCCCTGCGCCATCGTGTGTGCTCACGAGTGGGTAGCTTGTGTGGACACCTCTCCACACGTTGGAATGGCATTCTCGTTTCTACCTGGTGAGGATAGTTTCTTTGCTCGTAACCTGAACATCTGTTCTCCACCTGTCAACACCTTAGTAGGTGAGATTGTAGGGCAAGATGGATTAACTAGAAGGAAAAGGAGGTGAGAGAGATAAGAAGAACCCAAGATTGAGTTCTGGTTTTCTAAAGGTCCATGGTCTTGGAAGCATCTAGATCAATGGCCACGTGCTTATGAGTCGAGATGTCCCTGCCGTCTTCTAAAGGTAGAGCATTGGCTTGGGGGAGGCGTCCAGGCCACCAGCCCTCCCAGGGGAGATTATCAACCGAGAATTGATGGGAGGCTGATGTAGAAGGCTCACAGTGGAAGGAAGAAAGAAAAAAGCAAAATATATAGCTACCGATAGACACACATCTGTACGTGTATACACACACACAAGGGTGTGTGCACACTTTTTCTGTCTTTGACAGGAAGCTGGGGTCATGTGAAAGAGTGAAGGAAAAGAAAAAACACATGCGGCCACATTTTGTTACTTCACCTTACCCTAACTTCGTAGTCTTTGGTGGTTTGAACTTCTTAGAAGGCTTTCTAGTCAGAAATCTGAGAGCTGTCAGAAGCTAAGGGAGACCTAGCTACAAGTCCTGTGGAAAGGAGGAGAGCTGGAGTAGAAGGCCAGCCATGGTATGGACTAGAAAATAAAACAAAAGCAAAACAACAAAAAAACCCAAAAGACAAAAGCTTATGGGTAACAATGATTTTTAAAGGATGCACCAGCTGATTTTATGTTACTCTTTCACCTTCTGTCCTCACCCATCTGTCATCAACACTGGCCATTGTGTTGTGATGTCTTTTCTTTCCCAAGCTTGGGCTCGGGAGACATAGTGAATAATGTCCCTGCTCTGGGGACATTATACCGCTTCTACATATGTAGAGTCTCCCTCTGTGGAGGGGAGAGCTGATGTTCAGTGACTTGGAAACTCAGCATGGTAAGGACTAAAGAGAGGACGGGGGAGGGAGGGCTCCTGGCACTCCCAGGGGGCGTTCTGCCACCCACATGCACACTGTTCTTTCTGGTCCGAACCCTGAGGAGGCAGAGAAGGGAGCCAGCTTCATTCCACCCTAGGGAATGACCAGGTCAATGCAGAAATCTGCATTAATGCACGTTTAGATGCAAGAGCAGACAGATGCTGAAGCTGGAGCAGCACAGCTGGCTCCCTAGAGCTGGACTAGGTGAGAATGACCTGGAAGGCTGGGAAGGAACTCACCTCAGCCTGCCAGGGTCCTAGTGGAGTCTCAGGAAGTTATTGGCAGTGAGGGAAAGAGCAGTTATTGTCAAAAGAAAGGGCTTTCTGGACACTGCATTTTTTTTCTCTAAGCACTTGGCCATAATCATCTGAGTCATATGTGTGATGAATGTGTCAAATATTAAATGCTTAGAGTGAACAAGGCACAGGAATATTAAACATGCTCTCTCCTTTTCTGGAGCCATGATATAACCTCACTTCATCTTTTCAACTCTTTAAATATGTTGTTAGTATCCCAATTTTAGAAATGAGGAAACAGGGCTTAAAGGAGATTGACAAGTGACACAACTATATTAACACCCAGGTGTCCAGACGTTGGATCCTGACCTCAGACAACTCTCTTTACAGAGTTCCTGACCCACCACCCAAACATCTGTGCCTCCCCACTTCCTGCTGACCTGCTGCTCTAGGGAGCAAAGCTAGAGATGGAAACATCTCTTGCCCAGGCCTCCTCCTTTGAAAAGCTAGGGATGAAGGGCTAGGAACTGTGAAACATGGAGATGGTCTGGTTTTATTTCCTAGTTCCCACCCACTCTCAACAAGAGAGTGAATTCAAGCTGGCTTCACTGTGTTTTTCCATCTTCACATTCCACAATGCCCACCCCACCTGTTTGCGATTTCACTGTGGCAAACCTCTCACATCTCCCCCAAGAAAGGGCATTTTTTACCAATCCACTGGTTGGTCTTTCCCTCTGTTGACTTTTATTCATCTTGCATCCCAGAGGGTCCAATCAACAAATATTTACAGAAAAAAGTAGCTGGGTCAATTTGAGTCAGATCCAGGAGGGGACTTACTGATAAATAAGAGGCATCCTGCCCACCAAAGCCTATAATCCAGCTGGGCCCGTTAAGAAGAGCCTAATTTAGCATAAACGTGCTTTCATAAAAAATTTTAACAAAATTCCATAATAGCATCTCATACCCAGACCTCATTCAAATTACCCCAATTGCAACAATTAACTAAAATACAATTAATGGTTATGGAGAAAGGCTATGGTGAACCACCAAATATTTAGTGATTTTTTTTTTAAACTTTATTGTGAAGTCTATAGTTAAAAGAACAGGTCAGTGAGCACTGAAATATTCTTTACATGCATCAAGTGTTGACCTTTTAGCATCTTTACTTTCTTGCGTGTCCTGCTCTTTCTGAGTACCTGAAGTCTCACTTTTTGGCTGGCTGGCTGCCAGCAGGACTTTAGGGATTGCCATTTACAAAAGTTTTGCTCCAGACACATGACCGTGTTGCTTTTGGCAACAAACGACTTTGGCCCAGGACACTGGCTTAGGTTTCCAGGGTGATAATATTCATCTTTTCACTTTCAGCATTGGCAGTGGGAGTGTTGGCTCAGAATATTCGCTCCCATGCTCCCCACTCCTCTCTGCCTCCCTCCTTTGGACGTTGGGGGATTGGTCAGCTCCTGAATCTGCCCCTTTGACAATAGACAGAGTTAGCTGATCTTTCAGCCTTCTGCTCCAAAGCAGAGGAAGGGAGGGGTAGCAGGAAGGAAGTGAGAGCTGACTGACACTAAACAAGGTGGTTTTGCAACTTTCTGATAAAGGACAGTGTGGGGTTTTTTGAGGGGAGTGTTATTTTGGAGGTAGGAGGAGGTGGAGGAATAGTCAGGAAGATGACAGACTGCACACATCCAGGGCCCTGTGCTGAGTGATACAAACACATGTGGTTAAACTGGAAAGGAGATAAAGACAGGAAGGGATTGAATAGGCTGTTACTGTAGTGGGGTTGCATTGAATAGTCTCTGTAGGACAGCGCTGGGAAAGCAAATTACCTGTAGAAAATCATTTAAATGTCAACTCCAGGAGATACAATTGTAGTTAAGGGAAAGGGTGTTCTGTAAACTGAGGCTCAAAAGTTTAAGTGATTTGCTCAAAGACTTAGAGTTGGAAAGACTTAGTTGGAAAGGCCAAGATGGGGGCATATATCTGTCTGACTCCAGAACCCTGGCTCTTAACCACCGCTCAGACAGCTCAGGAAATTAGAGGTGCTAACCCCCCGGATTAAGAAAGGGGATGTTCCCCAAGTACCAGGAGCTCCTGCATGACTCAGAGCCTTTATAGTGAGAGTCCTGGCTCTCTCTGGAGTCCTTTCTTACCACTCCCTCTATCACACCCTCACCCTTTCTTACCATTCCCTCTCTCACACCCTCACCCAGCCGCGCTGAGCCCCCCCTCAGAAGCGCCACGAGTGTGCTGGTGTTGACTGCCTGGACCCTCCTTTCTCCTCCCCCTTTCTGCCTTATTCCAGTCTAGAGAAATCTTCAAGACCCAGCCCAGCAGCACTTTTGGCCACCTGTGACTGCAGGTGTTTCGCTCCACAAAGCTTTTTCCTTTGCAAAGCAGCAACGGCAGCTCTTTCTGCCCGCGTGTGTCTGTGCAAGCTGCTTCTTTCCTTTTCAACTACTAAGCCTGTCTGTTTAAAATTTAAAAAAAAAAAAAGACCCAAGCCATGCATCTTTGTGAATATGATGTCTGTTTGCTAGATAATAGATTACTACCTATCTGCTAGATTCTGAGAAATCTAGATGAGTAAGAAAAGTACCCAGTCTTTAAGGAGCTCACAGTTTAAGAGATACAGATAAATACAAATAATAAAAGTTATAGAAGTATACACATGGTACAGGTTGTAAGTGCTTAGAAGGTGGTGATTAAGTCAACTAATGACATGAAGTGTGAAATATCACAAAGGATATCAAGTATGAATTGGGTATTTTTAGGTATCTGCCCGAAGACAAGATAGGGAAGGCCAGTCCAGAAAGAGGGACTCGCATCTACAACAAAAAACCCTACAACCTATTCAGGAAACTAAAAAAAATTGCGCAGAGAGACCTTCAGGAAGGAGGAATAATGAAACCGGGGCTTCATGGAGGGTCAGCTTACAGATGCATACTGGGCAGTGAATAAAATTTTGTTTTGCCTTTTTCAAAGGACAGGTTTATTGGGGGAAGGAGAGAGGAGAAAAGAGGTGTCTGCATAGACACAGAGGGGCAGAGAGCTCTAAAGCGCTGTTAGCGGGGAGTGAACAGTCACGGCAGGCTTTAAGCACAGCGTGAATGTCCCGTTGCACCAGGCCACACAAGAATCAAAGGGCCCAGGCTAAAGCTGTGTGTGAGGTGATTTCCCCAGGTGAACACGTGGAGGAATTTGAAGGAGGAGGTGAGAGAGAAGACGTTAGGCCAACTCCTGAGGTTGAAACTGGGGCCCCGGGCCTGGGGGTTATAAGTAGAAGTATTAGGCTTTTCTTGCTGTATGAAATTCTTGTCTATGAGTGAGTGTCCCCGAGGAGAACAGCTGCTGTATCTATTTCTGTGTCCTGTGTATTAGCACTGAGACCAGCGTCATGGCTGGCTCTTAGGGTCCAGTGGAGAAAAGATCCCATTTCTGGCTGAGCTTCCAAGGCATTATAGCAGGATTTCTCTGCATTTCCACAGGGGTCTTCCTAAGAGTCTCCCGCCTTTCTCTCTTACTTCAACTGTCTGGAGAAATCTGCTGCTATGGTAAAAGAGAGTCTCCCAGGGAACTTCAGGTCCCCTGATTTGTCCTTAAAAATGCATATTTTATTTTCTTCTCATTAATCTTTCTTCCAATACAGTGCGTTTCCCCTTCCCCGCCAAAAAGTCACTGTAAATAATAGTGTCACTCCCTGAGGATAGGATGCACCCTATCATGTATGTTCATGCCAAGCTTTATGTATGCCCCCAGCACACTGCTGCGTACCCCCTAGGGTACCCCAGCTTGAGAAGAACCACAAAACTTGATTGCTTTTTCAGCAAGGTGCTCCTTCTTAATTCTGCCGGGCTGTATTGGTTGGCCCTGGCGCTCAGAGAGAAGCCTGGATTACAGGGGTCTGGCAGGGGCGAGGGGCCTGACGATGACGTGTGAACCTTCCCAACTTACCTCCCCAGGTGCTACAGAAGTTGGGGAAAACTGTGGAAACCAAAGATGAGCGCTTTGAACAAAGTGCCAACAACTTCTACCATCAGCAGGTAACCTGCGGGATTGGGGAGGGGAAGCTCAGAGGGAGGAAGAAGCAGGAGGGTTGGTGGCGGGAAAATAGCAGGTTCTGTAAACCCCTGAGCGTCTCCACGACATCCTCCCCCAGGGAGAGTACCCCGGGGTGACCTGCTACATTGCTCTCCCTTTGGGAACCAGGGAAACTCACCTTTTCTGTTCCTGCTGACTCTGGGCCTATTCTTTTCTCTTGGTGGATTCTTGGGGGTGCACAAGCATCCTTGGACAAAATCAAAACGAGCCCCCACAGCTGGGTGTGTTAGCTGGCTTCTCCCCTCCTCTGCCCCAGCCCCCCACCCGCTGTGGGCCTTCCCATTAGCCCATGTTTTCTCTGTTGCCTCTCTGGGCACCACCTAAGCCTGTTGTTCTCAAATAACTCTTCCCTCTTTTGCCTGCCATGCTCCCAGCAGACCTTCTATTCCCACTGAAGATTATGAGTAATTTTGTGTAGAAAATTCGCATTAAGAAGTGGCTAACAGGAGCACTGATCCGGTAAAGAGAACAGCAAGAAGAGTTCCCTGTCAATTAAAAAAAATAGTGGCTCAGCACTGCAAGCTAGCCACAGCTTCAGTGGGAGTTCAGTCCCCCACCCCAGAGGTGACCACATGGCACAGCAGACCTCTCCTGTATCCCTGCTGCTCCCCTCAGCAGTGGACTTCGTCCATCTGCCTGTTCTGCTCCCCGCTCTGTCTCTGGTGAAGCCTCTCACCACCCTTGCACCTCTGGCCTGTACCCCAGTTCTGTATGCATAAATAAATCAATCTTAAAAAAAAAAATAGTGGCTAAGAGAAGTTTAACCTTCCCTGGGATTTTTGACTTTCCCTCTCCATGGGCCAGGCCATGTATACTCATTAGACCTAACACTAGTTCTGGAGATTTCAATTCCGTCTTTATAGTAGGAGGGGGTGACTGCCGAAATGAATATCCACTTACCAGACGATGCTGACACAGGCTACCCAGAATTAGGTCAGATTTCACAGGTTAAGGGCGCGCACACACACACACACACACACACACACACCCCGCCAACTTCAAACACCAGCCACAAAGCAGGTTCCCCCAAGGGATCTGCATTCCTGACCAAGTGCCTACCAATTTGGGGGTCCCTACAAAATTGGAGGTGCCTACAAATTTGGGCCACAAGTTGCTCCCATGATTCAGAAGAGTAAGTCATAGAACTCAGGAAAAAGTTCTACTACAGTTACATCTTTACTATAAGAATAAAAGTCATGAGCAGGTAGTTTAGGTGAAGAGACGCATAAAATGAGGGGCCCCATTTGTGAGGCCCCAGAGGTGAAGCTTCTGCTTCCATGAGTTATGTCACCCTCCCAGCACAATGATCATGACTGAACAGGGGAGCTTACCCGAGCTTCAGGTGTCTAGAGATTTTGTGATTTTTAGATCGTGAGTCATTGGCCACCTGACAGGATTTAATCTCTAGCTCTCCTCCCTGGAGATCAGGCTGCCGTCACCTATCTCAAAGGCCCAGCCCTGGTGTGCTTCACCTTTCCAGCCTCTCCGGTATCGTCATGAGTCACTGATTTGGCATGAACAACAAAGACTCCCCTGTCACTCAGGAAATCCCAAGAATTTAGAGCTTACTTCACAGGAATCAGGGATAAAATCAGCCAAGATTTTTATTGTGTTATATGACAACTTAATTCAATTCTTTAAAATTATATTACCAGGATAGGTGCCACTATCTAAGTAGTTGACTCTATCAGAATCACTTGGGAAATATTTTAAAAGCAAGGTCTTTGGTAGGAGCAGATGGGATTCTGTACTTAGAAACTTACTTTAATGGAAAATTTCAAATGCATACAAGGTAGAAAAAACTGTGTAATGATCGATATGTACCCATTAGCTAGCGTCAATAATTTATCAACTCCTGGAAATCTTATTTCATGTTTCTATCCACTTTTCCCCACCTTAGGTTATAATGAAGCAAATTCTAGATATCATGGCATGTTACTTCATTGATCTCTAAAAGAGGGATCTCTTAGGATAAACCACAAAATCATCACCAGACCTAAAAGTAGATTTTTGAACACAACATTCATTTACTACAACAGATCATAAAATACATCGAGAAAAAATAAATTAAAAAATGACAATTCCCTGTCCTCCCAGTTGACCTCTGTTGTTTTATACCTTGATAATTGCTCTGCTGTGTATATGTGTGATCTCTAAATATGCCCACAATAAATGAGACTTATAAAAGTGAGGTACCATGTATATATCATTTTTATAACTTTTCCTTTTTCAATGAAGAACATAATACAAATGTCATTTCAAATATTTCAGATTAACTGTCCTACTAAAAATAAGTTTTGGTGGCATCTTAAAAAATTGGCCACAATGTTGTATCATAAAAGAGCCAGTGAATGTTCACAGCTATGCCAGCATGCTCTGTAGCTTGTTTATCTCAGGAGCTTGTTGACATCATGCCCCTCAGATTTGCGGGCATGTCTGCTACTCTACAGGGGTCTGACCCTTCCTTTCTGCAGCTTATCTGTGAGGACACCAGCTGGTTTGTGCTGCAGATTCCTGCAGGTCAGATTTTGCTGACTGGCGCTCCATGATAGTAGCTAACTCAGTCTCGTCTCTGTTCGTCTTTTCTGTGAAGTGACGTTAGCCGCAGAGAGCTGGTGAGATTCGGTGCCTTGTGCTTCTGTGCGTCAGCGGCAGGAATGAGGCTCCTGGAGCTGGCACGTCTCCCAGCAGGTGGCACATGCGTGTGCTTGTCTCCTCGGCGTGCGTGTTTTTAAAGATTCATTATATTTATTTATGCAGACAAGAACTGGGTGTAGAGCCTTCCCTGGTGGTGCAGTGGGTTAAAGCACAGTGCCATGAAGCTCACCACATCCACTTCTCCACGAGTTCGATCCCCGGCCAGAGAGCTGAACCACATGGCCCCGCCTGACCTGCCTGTTCTCCCCTCAGCAGTGTACTTTGTCCATCTGCCTGTTCTGCTCCCCACTCTGTCTCTGGTGAAGCCTCTCACCTGCACCTCTAGCCTGTACCACAGTTCTGTATGCATAAATAAATCAGTCTTTAAAAAACAAGGAAGAAGAAGAACTGGGGTGTAGGCCAGAAGCGGGGGTGGTGGTGAGAGATTTCATCAGAGACAGAGAGGGGAGCAGAACAGGCAGACACTGCTGGGGGAGCAGCAGGAGAAACAGGAGGGGTCTGCTGTGCCCTGGGGGTCCCTCCCTGGCTGGGGGTCAACTCATGCTGCAGTGGCTGCAGACGGACTTCATAGTGCTGCCCTTTAACCCCCTGAACCACCAGGGGGCCCCTGTGTGTGTGCCGTTAACAGACGAGGATGATCATTAACCGGGGTCTGTGTTTTATATTAAATTTTCTAAGCAATTAGGACATGTTAGTAGTTTAAGAAAAGCACTTGGGAAAAGAAAAGGGGAGGAGGATAAGCAGAGCCACTAAATTAGTCTTGATCCTTGGAGGGGAGATAGAATCCGGTTGAGAGGGGAGAAATTTAATCAAGGTACCAGCATGGGAGACTTGGCGAGCTAGAAGCCAAAGCTAAACCCTGTTTAGTTTGTCACTGACTCTCACAAGGAGGCCCCTCTGGGCCTCTCCTCCCCGCTAGCTGCTGTTCTGCTTCCAGTGCAGGCATGAGCCGAGCGAGCATCAGTGAGGCAGCACCCACCTTGGGAGGGGGGAGCGTGTGGCTGGGGCCTGGAGAGGGCAGTTCCCTGTCGAGTAAAATACAGTGGCGAAGAGAAAGAAAAGGAAGAATACCGAATCGTTTCACTCATAGCAGGAGCATAAAGGGCCAGGCGAGAAAATAATAGTAATAATGAACAGCTCTGTACCAGAGACATTTTGTGGGGTGGGGTGGGGAATGGGGTCAAAAACAGTGGGGGGGGGGATGCACTGGACTATGGTGATGGCACAGGGTGATTTGGTGAGGGGAAGCCCACGGGGATTATAGCTGAGATGGAAAAGGCACAAAATGATGTAAAAATAAACTATTGTATTATTTTTTAAAGCATAATGGTGAAGAGAAGTTTGCCTCTGTGTCCCCCTCTGCCTTTCGGGATCTGTGGAGGCAGATTATGGGTAGAAAGAGTAACCGGTGAAGGAAGGGCCACCTTGCAGAATAAGAGGGTCAGATGGGCAGCCCACCCCCCCAGAATTCTCTGTGCAAACCCACCTGCTAAATGTCGCTTGAGGAGAAAATTTTTGAGGACAGAGATGGACTGAAATTAGGAATAAGGGATTCAGTTCTCAGCCTTTCGGCAGAGATCAAGTGGTGGGATAAGGGAAGCTTGTAGCCTGCCTGAAGAGTCCTAGAGTGACTGGTGGTTTTGAACATGCTTGGAAATTCTCTGGTCAGTTTGCTGAACAAACATTTTGTGAGTGCTTGTGGCGGGTGAGGCACTGGGCGACGCAGCCGTGACACCACCAGGGAAATGCACCTGCCCCAGGCACTCGCTGTCTGCAAGAAGGCTGAAGACACGTCAGGCCTGAGGTTAGCTGGAACGGCTTAGCGAACAGGAGGAAAAAGACAGGACCACAGAGCTCAAAAGTGGAATATCCCCCAGCGGGACCAGATGGCCATGCGTCCTGCCCCTTACCTAGCCCCACTTGCAAACTTCCAGTAAATAAATATCACCCCAGACTTTGCAGCCCAATTTCAAGGCCTGACCCCTCGCCTCGGATCCTGTCAGGTCTCTGTAGGTGATGTTTCTGACAGGACTCTGCTTGCCCCCCTTTTCTTCTCTGCAGAATCTATTATATAGGAATAACTCTTATCCTCAGACAGCATTTTAATTTCCTATTTCTGGTAGTAACAGCTGCTACCAATTCATTGCCTCTAAAATCAAATCTGATCATCTACTTTCATCTTTCCCTCCTGCATCTCCACAAATCAAGTGCTTCCAGCACTTACTCAGGCTTTGGTTAGATTCTTTGCGATTGTTTTGCTGAACGGTGGTTTCTTTGGGTCTGTCTCTCCCCCCCCCCCCCCCCCCCAGCAAGCAGGGATCGTGATGGGGCCTTTGCCTTCATCCTCACACACCAGTTTCTCAGAACACAGCTCTGTCTATCTGAGTGATCAGACAAGCTTTCAGAGTGAGCACTTCATTAACTGTGGGCTGGGACTGTTTTAGAAGGGGTGGGAAGGATTAACTTAGACTCTATGGTGCTACCACGAACTTGGCAAGGATTCAGAAAAAAGCAGAAGTGATAAAATCTTTACCTGGGCGTTTAGAGATTGAGGAAATGGAAGCCAGAGAGAGGAATAACTTTCTAGTTGGTGGTAGAGAAGAGTCTGACTTCCAGACAAGAGACAGTATGACTGTTGTGTCTGTCAGGGAAGAAAAGGACACCCTGAGATTATTTAGTCTGGAGACATTTCAGGGGCATAAGAACAGGTCAAAGAAATAAAATGACACCTAGTGCTGTTCCACTCCCAACACCTCGCCACTACACAAACACACCCTCCCTCCGGCTGCTTAAAATAAAGAGCAGGAGCATAGCGAAAGGACCTTTTATGAGCAAGAGACATAATTCTAAAACACAGAGATGGAGTTGGCCTTTCATGACGTGCAGTGAGGGTGGAAAGCATTCACCCAGGGTCTGCAGACACCACCTTGTGCACCAGGTCCAGACAGTGTGTGTGGTGTCCTCGATTACCCACCTGATTTTTCAGACCAGATAGAATAAAAAACTAAGAATTTCCTTTGTAGCGATCATGCAAGATAATTTAATGGCTTTTGTTATTCAGTTATGTATTTCTGGAGATAAATGTCCATGGTGAAGTAAAAAGTCCAGGTGTGTTCTTTCATAAAAGAAATGTAAAGCCTTGTTAATTTTTAATTCTCCAGTCTTTACATTTTTAGTTTGCAATATTTAAAGCTAGCCTAAAAAGATGAGTCACAGGAGCAAAGATAAAATTAGATGGATGGATGGACGGAGGGTGGGTGGGTGGATGGATGGATGGATGGAGGGTGGGTGGGTGGATGGATGGATGGACGGATGCAGCTACAGGTAAAGTTATTGGGGTTGGAACAGGAGGAGAGTTAATGATGAGGCCCTTTGGAGAAGTAACTGATGGGAGGGAAGAGCAAAGTGCAACAGAGCAGAGAAGCACATCAGGGGAGGAGGGGATGGCCTGAATGCAGAGAAGGAAGAGGGTCTGATGTTTATAGAAAATGGGAGCCATTTGAGCCTCCCTGGTGGCATAGGGTTAAAGTCTAGTACTGCCAAGCTCTCAGCCTCTGTGGCCTGGCCTGAGTTCGATCCCTGCTAGGGAGTGACCCACAGGGTGCAGCAGACCTCTCCTATCTCCCCGCTGCTCCCCTCAGCAGTGTTTCAGTCAATTCGCTTGATCTGCTCCCCACTCTGTCTCTGGTGCATCCTCAAACTCTGCCCCCACCCCCAGCACCACTGGCCTGCACCCCAGGTCTTGTATGTATAAATTAAAATAATTATTTTTTTTTAAATAAAGAAAAGAAAATGGGAACCATTTATCTCCCAGAGAGAAATACATAGCTGGCATCTGGCAGAACACTTAAATTTCAACAGAAGGACTTGGGTTACGAGAGAACAGAACAGGAGGAGGAAGACATTGTAGTGCAATAGGACTTTAGCAACCTCCCAAAACTTAAAATTGCCCCAAAAGAGACAACCCACATCTTCTTGGTAAAGAGAGTAGAGGTTGCTTTATAACATTTGCAAATATTGGCAAGTATTCCAGGATTGATTTCTGCTTTTAAACTACTTTTCTACTTTGACCTCTGGGGTATCGCCCTAAATGTATCTCTCGAGTCATCAGAAACACTTCTCTGTTGCAGACAGAAGGCTACAAGCTATACAAAGACCTGAAGAACTTCCTCAATGCAGTCAAAGGTGGGTATCATAGCACAAGAGGATTCAGACGGCATTTCTAAGGTTGCTAAGGGGTCTGGGAGATGGGGAAGGACAGCCACACTCAGGCCTTTGCCTGCCTGCCCCTGGCTTCTGGAACTTTGTGGGCCCATGAAGAGTAACATTTCTTATCACAGCCCAGCGTTGCCTCCCTTGGTGATAACACAGATCTTCTGAGTTTGGCCAAGGGAGTTGGACCCGCTGATTTGCCTGTCGCCCATGTGACCGACCTGTTTCTTGGAAACTTGATGGTAGAGCTGAGTTCTTGCCTTTTCAGTGATGCATGAGAGCTCAAAGAGAGTGTCGGAGACCTTGCAGGAGATCTACAGCAGCGAGTGGGACGGTCACGAGGAGCTGAAGGCCATCGTGGGGGTAAGGGTGGTCTGGGCCCGTGGCTCTCCAGGACTCCTGCCTCCCCTCAGCTCCATCTTGGCTTCTCCACCCAAGCACATAAACAAGCAGCCAGTGCTCATCCTTCATGTATATGACCGACATCACGGGGCGGGGGTGGGTGGGGGGGGTGGGTATTGCAACTGCAGAGGTGGAAACAAGTCTGCCCCAGTGCCTGGACTCCTCTCTTCTGGATCCTTCTCCCCTCATTTAAATCTTTCAGCCTTTTTACTACACGAAACCCTGTTGCTTGTTTTTGAAAACTAACTCGATGTCATTGCATGCATCCAGACTTCCTTATTTCTCCAACTGCAGCATCCAAGCCTCTGGCCATCCACGCTGCTCCTAAAGCTTGGATGTACAGCCAGTCTGGACTGGGGCAGTTCCTTGGGGCCGGGTCTGTCTTCATCTGACAGTTCCCCAGAAGCAACCGCGCTAGTCTAATACAGTGCTCCAGAGAAGAGTTTTTTGGAGGAAGAATGTGGGTTTTCCCCGATACACAGTGTTTTTGAGACGTGGAGGCCTCATCACTGTCCTGTGCCTGCAACCCACAGAATAATGATCTCCTCTGGGAAGACTATGAAGAGAAACTGGCTGACCAGGCTGTGAGGACCATGGAAACCTATGTAGCCCAGTTCAGCGAGATTAAGGTACTGACCTCTCATAATCAAGGATGGGTTGTGAGCGCCTGATAGAGTGAGGGTCCTCCCAGGTGGCACAGTGGTTTGAAGTACAGCATTGAGAAGCTAAAGCCACATCAGCATGGGTTCAATCCCCACTGGCCCTGGAGGTGACCACAAGGCGCGGCAGACCTCTCCTCACCCACCCGCTGCTCCCCTCAGCAGTGTGCTTTGTCAGCTGGCCTGTTCTGCCCCCACTCTGTCTCTGGTGAATCCTCTCACAACCCCTGCACCCCAGTTCTGTCCTGTACCTCAGTTTTGTATGCATAAGTAAATAAATCTTTAAAAATATGTATATAATAAGCAGAGGGAGAGCCTGGTTATGAGTGAAGTTGGAGGAGGACTGAAGTTGAGGATTAGGTGAGGGCTTAATGTGGCGGTCCTCAGTGAAATGAGGTAATGTTTAAACTTAGATTTCAGTCAGGGAGATACGGGTTGATTTTGCATGAGACCCAGGTCAGGGCATCATTTTCAACTCTCAGCAACTGCTGATGGGATTAAGGTGGTTATTGCAGAGAAGAGGAAACTTAGGGGAGTCCTAATAGTTACCTTCAAATACTTGAACGTCTGAAAGATGAAAGAGGAATTTGGTATGTTCTAGACTCTTCTAGAAAGCAGAACTAGAATTTTTTAATTCATTCATTTCTGATTGATGCTGGCACTGTGCTGATTTTAGATTAATAGGAAGAAATTAGAGGGTGCATGACTTGAGTTTCTGACAGTTAAAACTTACTAAACGTGAAGTAAACTGTAAAGTAATGAATTGTTTGGTCTCTGCTTAAGCAGAAGTTGAACTACTTCATACCTTGATTGTAGAGAAGCTTCATGTGTTGTATTGAACAGGAAGTTGGGTGAGAAAATCACTAAAATTCTTTCAAATTCTGTGATTGAGAGAATGAATCAAGGACCAATAATATAATCTGCTTCTCCCTGGAACAATTTATAATTTGGACGAGATTGAGTAAACTTTCTGTGTAATTTACTATTTTAGTGTGCTGTGGGGTTTTATAAGTCGTGTTCCTTAATACTAACACCATAGAGCCGGTGAGACTGTTGAGGTCCCAAAGAGATGTGTCTTGCCCTAGGCCCCGGGGCTAAGGAAACGAGGGGTAAGGCACAAAACTTCTGACTTTTTATTGAATAGAAATTTCGCGGTCATGTCTGGAGGCTGAACCATTCAGGGCCACCTTCCACGTGCCCTCAGGGTCGCCCCTAACTCCACACCCTTCAGGGAATGCGCAGCCTTTACAGATCAGGAGGACACATCCATGGGCTAAAAACCTTTTTAGAAACAAAAATTGATAGGAGGAGCCTAGAATATGGCCCTTGTATTTGATGCCACGGTACCCACATCCTAGCCACTGAAAAGTGAGTACCAAGGCCCTCTCTTACCACTCTGGGCTAGGAGAGAATCGCCAAGCGGGGTCGGAAACTGGTGGACTACGACAGTGCCCGACACCACCTGGAGGCTTTGCAAAACGCCAAGAAGAGAGATGAGGCCAAGACTGCCAAGGTAAAGAAAAGCGTCTGCCCCGCTCCGCACCCCCCACCCCCCCAGAATGATCAGTTCTGCATCCGTGTCCTAAAGGAAATCCTGTTTCCCGGACACTGGTGCTGTAAGGATAGTCAGAGACTCGCGGTGGGAGGGCGTGGGAAGGGTCTGTGCTTCCCAGGGTGCCTCGTTCCTGAAAAAATGCCGAGGTTAAGGGAGGCGGCCTCTAGCCTTGTGCTCAGGGTGGAGAGGGAGTTGTCTGTCTTTTCTATCACCCAGGCAGAAGAAGAATTCAACAAGGCCCAGGTGGTGTTTGAAGATTTGAACCAGGAACTCCTAGAGGAACTGCCCGTTCTTTATAACAGGTAATGACTGGAACCCAAGACAGTCTGGACTCGTAGGCCAAGGAAGCCCTGGCCACCCAGACACATCACCTCCTGAAAAGAGCTCTGATCCGAGAGCGGACTGTGGCCTCTGTCCAGCTCCTGCCGAGCGTGGTGCCGGCCAGGACACTGTCCCTCTAGACCTGGGCTCCGCGCTGCAGCGCAGAGACAGCTGTCCTTGCTCCGCTTCTCCACCAGCTTGTCAGGCTAAATGCAACATGCTCCTTGGGTAGGAGAGAGCGTGGCAACTAAAGGCTGATCACGTGTCTTAGGAGCATCCGGCCTGATGCACACTTGTGTGTGCGCTGGTGTACCTAGAAGGCTTGCTTCGTCAACATCTCTCAGTCGGTTTCTGTAGAAATAGCCCAGCACTGGATGATTTCCGTTAATGAGGGTGTCTTTGCTTCCTAGTAGGTGAAAGTGTTTTAGATGTAAATTTTCCACATTAGAGGAGCAATCTGAGTAGAAATTCTATTTGTAACCTATTTTCTTCTCAGTATTTAAGGTGCACTTAAAACAGTTACAGTCAAAGTATTTTCTGTTGTCCCCTAATGCTATTCTACATTATATTCTCCACATTAATTTGGTGACTCTTCATTTAAAGAGAATCAAATGCAATGGTTTCCTTAAATGTCACCTTCCCCAATTCATTCACAGCAGAATTCCATTTATGTCCACGTAGCTCCATGAAAGTCCAAATATTAAGAAATTAAGAGAGTAATTACTCATTATAATCAGATAGCCTTCTACTCACACAGCACCTAAAATGTCTTCAAAGTACTCTTACGTCTGCTCTGACAGAACTGGGGCTCCGTCATCTGGACGGGCAGGTGCTCTGGCTGGCCTGCCAGATCTAGACCACAGAGCATCCTGAGTTTTGAGTGGGCGGTGTCTCCCTCACTGGCATTGGCCTCCGCGCCTGTCTTCTGTTTCATTTCCCAGACCTTTTCCATCCCTTACCTGTGTACTGTTTTCCCTCCTGATAGTCGTATTGGCTGTTACGTGACCATCTTCCAGAACATTTCCAACTTGAGGGATGTCTTCTACAGGGAGATGAGCAAGGTGAGACACAGTTGGCCAACTTACATACATACGTGGGTTTTTGCAGTACTGTGAAGGTAACCCTCATTTACATCATTTCTATAAATATCCATGTTGGTACCACAGGTTTTTACTGTGTTCTTGTTTTGAAGCACCGCTTAACTGACTGTGTCAGACTGTATTAAAGCACAAAGCAACTGAGTAACAACCATCCAAACTTTAGCTTCTGGTGAATAAAGGAGCTTGGGACTGTGGAAGGAATAGCTGAAATGAGCCAAACTATGGGATCGGTATTTTTTGTTGCTAAAAAGAGCAACGGTGAGCAGGAACTGAGAGAGCGGTGTTTAAGCACAGGTCAGTTTCTCAGCAGTCAGTGTTGACGAAAGCCAGTCCTATTCAGTGACAGGCAGCTGAGGAACAGGCCCTACGGGGTCTTTTCTTGCTTTGGGAGTCTAAATGGTCGTCTTAATTTCGATAGTAACTATATTATAAGAATGTGCTATAGCATTATATTCTACGTCCATACGGACTCCTCTCCTCGGTTTCTCTGGCTAAATAATTACAGGCCTCATTAAAATTACAAAGTATTCTCCTTCCCTGAATCACCTGAGAAGCTGGAACCTCAAACACCAGTTGTGGACCCCACCTTGAGGGAGCTGCGGGTCTGAAGGCTGAGGCAGAACTGAAGACATACACAGATCAGAAAGACAGAGAGATGAGGAGGAGCTTGATCACTGAGAGCTGAAAGAGTGGGATCGTTTTACTGGGGGAACTGTCTGAAGAGAGCAGAGAGGGGTGCCCATGTCCAGTTCCTGACTGCCTAACGGCCCTTTCTTTCTCATTGACTCTAGCTCAACCACAATCTCTACGAGGTGATGAGCAAACTGGAGAAGCAACATTCCAGCAAAGTCTTTGTGGTGAAGGGACTCTCAAGGTAAGCAAGCAACTCCGCCCCTGGCCAGTGTGTGAGCAGAGGTCAGCCCGCACCCTGGCCTCTAGCCGCTGCCCCCTGGCCTTGCACTCCTCTGCAGGGGTCTGTTGCTTGTACTCCACCCTTGTTTAAGCCCTTTTTCTTTACAGGATTTATATAATTTAAGGTATAAAGGCCCCAGATAACACTATGCCTAACCATCAGATTTAAGGAATCCACTGTTAGATACATAACCGAAGCCCCGAGCCTTCCACTTTGCATTCTCTCGTACCTCTTCCCCACCAAAGGTAGCCACTGTCTTCAGGTAGTGTTTCCTATTCCTGTGGTGTCTTTTTACTTTCATCATACACAGGTATGTGCATACAGAAAATACTGCTTTGCATGTTTTAAACTCCATACAAATGAAAGTATACTGAGTGTATTTTGCTGTTGCAACTTCTTTTGTTCTTAGTATTTTTTTTAACTTTTATTTATCCTCTTTGTTTTCTCATGGTATTATTTGGTATTATTATGAGAGTTATCCTTACTACATGTGGCTAGTCTGATCTTTCCTCCTCCTAACTGTCAAGGATGCTATTTTATAGCGAGCTCACTTATCTGTCCTCCTGATAAAGAATATTTGGGTAGTTTTCCAGGTTTTTAGCTATTACAAATAATGTTGCAGTGAGCACGTTTTACATTTCTCCTTGTGAATATCATCAAGACTGTCACAAGGGTGGATACTGGGAGTGGAATTGCTGAGTCATGAGGTCTGTATTTGGGCTTTGTTAAACTTAGTAGGTTTTGCCCTACCAAATTGCTATCCGTAGTGATTGTTCCAATTTAGAACCCACCAGCAATGAATAAAGCCCCAGTTACTCTGTGTTCTTGCCACATGTGACATTGTCAGACTTACTTCTCCCAACTTAATGAATATGCAGTGGAAATTTTCCAGTTTTAATTTACATCTCCACAGAAGCTAGTTACCTTGAACATCTTTTCAATTTAATCACCATTTTAAGGTTTCTGCTCTGACTTTTCCTGTTTCTCCTTGATTCACATTGTTCAATCCAGTTGTTTCCCCTAGATATTAATCCTTCAATGATATACATTGCAAATGTTTTCTCAATTTGTTGTGGCTTGCTTTTCAACATGGGGCAGTGCAGGGGGTGTTTGTTGTGTTCTACATTGCTTATGCTGCTAAGTGTCAACAGTTCACCATCTCTCAGAATGTGATCAGGTCTTATTTTGAAGTCTTTGTTTAGAAAGTTTTAAGTTTCTTCTATGCACAAGGCTTTGCATTAGAGTCAGGACCCAAAGGCATCAGGAATACTTACTGCTCTAAAGAACTTGTAAAAAAAGTTGAAAGGACAGAAAATGTGCCTAAGGACACAGTGTCCCTAATGAAGCCAGTAGAAATTCCAGAAGGGTAATTTGTGCACATGCAGATGATTAGGGAGGCTTTAAAGGCAGCAGTGAAACTGAGCTGGGCGCTTCAAGGAAGATTCGTGTTTTTTTTGCTACCCGTTTTAGCATTTAAAAACTATTGAAAAGAATCACTGAAAGGTTAACATCGCCTTCCTGCAAGAATTTTGTTTTTCTCTGGAAACTCTCTTGCTCCACTTCCTGGCATTGAAACCAGCCTTCTTTCTAATTATCCATTCTTCTGAAACATACTATCACTTAACCAAGATCCCCCAGAACTTTGCAGGGTAGTCTGGGCTTTTCCTGCTGTCTTGGCCTTCTAAATCTACAGATCCCCGAGGGCTAGTGCAGCGGAACCGCACTCAGTTTATCTCACATCAGAAACTCCCACAGGCAGAAACTAAGCTTCTCTCCTCCTCGCCTCTCCCCACTGCCCATCCTTGGGTCCAGCTGGTCCCTGTTAAGTGGATATTTGTGGGTTGCTTAACCAGTTGGTGACCAGTGCCTAGGAGGCATGTAAGGGGGTGAAATAGGAGTCAAGCTGGCGTTGGCTACAGAAGCCCTCAGCACAGTGTCCAGGATAGTCAGTAAGTGTTAGGGTTTTTGTGATTTGAGGTAGTTACGTTCTCTGCTGTCACCCAGCACTGGGTTGGCGAATACTGGGTCGCTGACCCTCGGGAGACAGAGACACAGGTCCCAGTGGGTTTCCACAGCTGGTCAGGGTAGCTCCATGTCTCATGTATGTTTCTGTTCACAGACATTTTATTTAATTTAGGTTGTTGGTTTCCATAATGCTGAACTCACAGCCGATGGTACCATAACTCACGTGTGAAGGCAGCTTATCTCACAGACATGCTTTCTCCGTGAGGCACAGCCCAGACTTGTTGCTGTCAGACAGTACTCTGGCACAACACTTGAAAGCCGTTTTAAATAGCTAAATCACCAACAGAAAGTACTGCAGTATGGAAAACAGGGCCAGAAGGACATGTTCACGGCCTACGGCAGCTCTCCCGGACCCCAGCCGGGAGGTCCCTTCAGACACTCGTTCTTCACAGCTTGCCCGTGAGCGCGGCCCTGAAAGAACTACAGACACAGCTTTGGGTTATAAATACACTTTAGGGAGGAAGCAAATTTGCAAATACAGAACCCGCATGACTCAGCTACTATCACCCATAAATCTTCCCCAGGGAAAATGTTTCCTTGCTCCTTTGTTGTCTTTCTTGCCAGTCTTTATATTGTTTACATTGCTGAGGTAATGATGGAGATAAAATTCCATAGCTCATTTCCCCTTGACAGCATAAGCATTACTGTCAGTTACACCAACTCTCTATATCTGGTTCTTTTACTGCTGATGCCCCCTTATTCTTTATCTGGGGCACTAGGTTACTTCTGTGGCTACAGCTCTCACTGGAGTCCCTTTCCCTTGTAGTAACAGCAGGCGCTCTCTAGTCATCTCCTCCCCAGTTCGAACATCCACAGCGTCCAGCCCGCTCACCTCACCCACCAGCCCCTCTTCACTGTCCATGAAGAGTGAGAGGGCGTCGGTCTCAGCAAGTGAAGAGGAACTGCCACCTGATCCAGCCCAGGGAGAAGACAAGTCTGAGAGCAAAGAAAAGCCCTTCAATGACGAGGGGATAGAGGACAGAGGCTCTGAAGCAAGTTCCTCTGAGGAGGAAGAGCCACTGCCAGCCTGCAACGGCCCAGAACAGGCCCAGTCCTCTCCCGCCACTGAGGACGGCCAGCCCGGGGAGGAAGAGCCCCCTCGCTCCCCAGCACCAGCCCCAGGCGGACCGCTTCTGCCCTCAGAACCGCCTTCGTCTCTCCCAGAGGTAGTTCTCCGAGCCCGCACCTCAAGTGAAGGGTCTGAACAATCGAAGAAGAAATCCTCGATCCAGAGGACCTCCGCACCGCCTTCTCGGCCCCCTCCACCCAGAGGCGCGCCCAGCCCCAGGCCCTCCTCAGGGAACATAACCTCCAGCCCTCCAGCCTCTGAGCAGGGTTCACCCAGCGGCTCCACCGCAGTCTTGGAGACTGAGACTGCAAGTCCCAGGGCCTCCTTGGAAGCCTCTCCTGACCCACAGCCACCGGACAAGCCAGCAAGAGTTTCTGAGAGCAAAGAGGAGGAAAACACCAACGGGCTGAACCCAGAAGAGCCGTACACTTCCCCTACCTTGACCTCTCAGGTGAGAATGGGTCTGGTTCAGTCTTTACTCTTTGGTGACGTTCATGAAACCATCTCAGTGTAGTCAGCTTGCCCCATGGTTGGTCAGGTTTTCTGTCATGTCACAGTCTGAGGATACTCTTGGACCCTTTTTGTTTTTGTTCCAGGGATTATCTCCCATCTTCATAGCAATTAATTTAGTGATCTACTTTAGGGTGGTTGACTTCTACGAAAGGCCCGTCTCTAACATTATTATGAACAGCAGCTTTGTACTAATTTCTCCCTTACGCGTCAAGTTGTATGAGGAAGTTATACAGCTCAGGTACCCTGAGCTTTACCTTTTTTTGGTGGGGTTCAGGGAGGGGAGTTTCGCTTCAGTGTGTCGTACTTGTGACTATGATATAGAGACCCCCCCCCAAAAAAATGTCGCCAGAAAATTTCCAAGACATAGAGAGACCCTGAATAAAGAACTCACAGAGGATGGTAAAACGGAAGGGATGGATTTCCAAAAGTGAGAAATTGGGTAAGAAGAGAATTTTGTTAAAAATAGAGGAAAGAATTTCTGGAGAGCAACCAGTTCTTGCAGTGACCTAGAAATCAAGTCATCATCTTTTCCAAGTATATGGAAGGTCTGTGTCATCTAAAGAAACTCAACCTGTGTTATGAAACTCTTGAGGGCAGAGGCAGGTCCTATATGTAAAAATTCTTTGTGTCTGTTTGAGAGTAGTACAAAAGGAACTTTATCATTTAGTCCTGTTTTTAAAAAATGGTATAGAAAAAAATTTTAATATACAAGAATGGGCAGAAGGGGCTTCCAAAAATCAAATGGGATGGGTCACCGCGAGAAATAATTCTCCTTCCTTGGTGTTAATAATGAAGACTCTGTGGTCAGCTGTCAGGGACATTATCAAGAGTATGATGGTGATACATCTGACCAAGTGGCACCAGGAGTCATTCATTCTACAGTTACTTATGGTTCAGGTGCTTTTCTCAGAGATGGGCTATAACGGTGAACAAAATACAAAATTCCCACTTTTCTGCATCTACATTTTAGTGGGGTGGGGGATGGAGGGAGTGGAGACATAGACAAGAAACAGAATAAATAAATGAAATTACAATTTAGTGGTAGAGGAAACAGTGGAGGAAAATTAGGTAGGCGAAGGCACAGGAAGGAGCAGGGTTGCAGGTGGCCGGAAGGTGACATGGTGATGGAGGAGGCAGGGTCTAGCCTTTATGGACGTGGAGCATGGGATCTCTGGTGCCCCAGATCATACCAACCCAGAGGAAGGGTGACCAGCTACCTTAGGAGCCTCCTGCTGCCGGAGAGGAGCTAACATAAAGGGAACAGGGTAGCCTCGAGGTGTAGGGGTGTGGGACTGGCTCCCAAATTGTCCACTTTGACCCACAGGTTTGTCCAGAATCTGGCAATACAGGAAGGATGGACGACAACGAAGACGATAGTGAGGTCTTCTCAGCCGACTCCCCTGAGGTACCAGAATCGCAGTCATCAGTGTGATTGTGCTCTCGGTCTTGATTCACTTGAAGCACTGATGGTTCTTTCACAGCAGAATATAAAGCTTGCCCTTGGCTGGCTTCTGGCCAGAGGTAGCTGTGCTGTTTGATAGTGAATAGAGAAGAGGATCAAGAAGCAGCCTCCTTTCCCCTGAGTCTATCTCCTTGAATAGTCAAGAGATCTGTAATATTTACTAGTGGATCTCCCTGGCGGTGCAGCGGGTTAAAGCGCAGCACTGTGAAGCTGTCTGCAGCCCCTGCAGCGCAAGTTCCATCCCCGTCCGGGGGTGACCCACAGGGCGCAGCCGACCTCTCCTGTCTCACCCATTTCTCCCCTCAGCGGTGTGTTTCAGTCTGTCTGCCTGTTCTGCTCCCCACTCTGTCTCTAGTGAAGTATCTCAGCCCCCACACCTCAGGCCTGTACCCCAGTTCTTGTATTCATAAATAATCTTTTTTAAAAATAGATAATATTTACTTACTCCTAACCTTGCCTGTGAGATTGCTTTGGTCATCAGCTAAGGAGACATTTTTCGGACAGCATTAAGCTGCTAAGGCACCTTCGCCCCTCACCCATGCAGGCCAAGCCAAGCTCCCTTCCCCCAGCAGACACATCGTCAGTCATAAGATGTGGTCATACCAGAACTGTGGTCGGATCACATACAAGAATAGGTAATTGAAATTATAACTGGGAGAAAACCTGATTTGCTCAGCATTTGAATCACCTGAAAGAATGAAGGCTTTGATAAGTTTCTGGGAGGTGATGTTACCCGCAGGTAGGTTGTGGCCTGGAGAGACAGGGAAAGTAAGAAGGAGGAAATCACAGAACTTCAAGTGGCTGACACCTGTTAGCATTGGCTCCACTTCATTTTTTTTTTAAAGATGTATTTATTTATGCATACAGAACTGGGGTACAGGCCAGAGGTGTAGGGGGTGAGAGGATTCCCCAGAGACAGAGTGGGGAGCAGAACAGGCGGACTGACTGGAACACACTGCTGAGGGGGCAGCAGGCGGGGCAAGGGCGGTCTGCTGCGCCGCGTGGACCTCTCCCTGGCCGGGGATCAAACTCGCACTGCGGTGGCTGCAGATGGCTCGTAGCACTGTGCTTCAACCCTTGCACTGCCAGGGAGGGCCCCACTGGCTCCACTTTAAGGGAGTGAATTTTACAATGTGCGAACTACATTTTAATTTTTTAAAAAATCTAAACCTTAGAGGGCCAAGGTCTCCCCTGGGGTTAGCAGTTCCTGAACAGTTCTCATCTCAGAACCGGGGTCCTTTCCCGAAAAAACCGTCATGCCCTTTGCCTTTCTTACCTGCTTGCCCTGGGTGAGGGTCCTCTAAGTGTATGCTTTCTGAGGACCTTTAGTCTAACAGCAATAGGTGTGGTTTTAAGACCTATCCTTACACCCTCAGCCGCCAAAAAGGGTGCGCACACAGGCACATGTCCCATAAGCCACGTGGGGTCTGGTCATAGACACGCTCCCGAGTCCACAGATCTGGTTTCCCGCCCCAGCGAATCATCTCACCCTTTGACTCTTGGCTTCTTGAGTTATGAGAGGGGATAACAGTAAAGCCTTCCCTGGTGCCTCCAGGCTAGAGGGAAACAGCTTTGTGTGATTGTCCTTTGTATTATATGTGACACAGAAGACCCTGCTAAGCTGAGAATCTGGGAAGGTTGAGCCGCCGCTTACTGGAAAACTCTTCTCTTTGCAGAGCCAGAGTCTTCAGCCTCATGTCTCTGCAAGCCCAGAGGAGATCAGCGACACAGCACCTGGGCCTCAAGAAGAGGTGAGAAGGCAGCTAGGCCTGGCTGGGGCGGTGAGACTGGGCATTAGCAGACAGAGGTTTAGCTCAGGCTGGGCCACGGGAACTTAGCAGTGAACAATGTACAAGAGCAGAGCCAGAGAAACCAAGAGTAAAGTGGGGCTTTGCAATTTGTGTCTATTTTTCAACACAAGGCCATGAACTCTTGCCTCTAATTATAGTCCTGTCTCCCACGTAGTTATTTAATGATAGCTACACTTACTTCAAGATGGAGCTAAGATATACAAAAGACATAAATATGTACGCATACATGATAGAGCCAAATAACTCAAAAGTATATGCTAAGATAAAACAGAGCCACGAATTAGGCAAGTACAAATGCCTCTGTAAAACAAGCTTAGTAAGTACGGGCCACAAAACTGGTTCCAGAATTTCTAACATCTGAGAAGAGACAAACCTGACCCGTTCACCCACTGGTGATGCCTGTTCCTTGGGAGAACAACAGCTCCTGCTCCCAAGAGGAGCGGTTACGCCTGTAAAGGAGAGTGACACATAATGTGATGAGCACTGTCTTCAAGTACCATAACCCCAGCCACCATTTCTATTCC